AGGTCTATATTAGAGTGCCTCTCCATATTAATCTGGTTAAATGTAAATTAATTTAATCTTACTCCGCGGTATATGAACTGTGTTGATCCGGGATGTTGTCATTGCGATCGTGATGACCGTAACATAATTCTCCCGTTTGCATTGTGATCTGTATTTTTACATATTTATTTTAATATATTTTATTCAATTCAATTCCAGTTTATTTGTATAGCGCTTTTTACGATACAAATCGTTGCAAAGCAACTTTACAGAAAATTAAGTTTCTACAATATTTAGTAGTAGCTTATCAGTGGTGCCTGTCAGTTTATGTACATGTGGCAGAAATGTACGGAAAAATCAATTAAAGACGCAATCAAACAGACGATGAACACTATTAACAGCAATTATTATATGATGAAATCAAACTTATAGCAAAGTTTGGTAGTTCTGTATGTTTTATTAGGTCAGTAAACGCAAGTCCTAATGCATCATTATCAATGTGAATGTAATTAAAATCTCTGACAATTAGCGTTTTTTTAAAGGTAACCAATAGGTCTGAGAGGAAATCTGCAAATTCTTAAACCTGTAAAACCTGTATCCTGTTTTCTGAGTAACATTGAGAATATTAATATATAATATTATAAATCTTTTATATATCCCTCCATGGCATATTTAAGTCCCACTTGAAGAAATTTTAAGCTTCGTATTTAAATATATATATATATATATATGCTTTAATATATCCAACTTTAAAATGACTAAACGTATATGTTTTCCTTTTGGGCTCTGTGTGAGACTAAGTTATAAGTAATAAATTAAGTTGATTCGTTTGCATAGTCATAATTTCTTTTTGCTGCCAAACTTTTGCTGCAGCAGAAGCGTTTATTACTGCCTTGTAAATGCATTTAAATGTATTACATTTTTAATAAAGACATCTCTTAATCCTCAGCAGAAAAGTGAATTGCGCTGACTCACTTGCGCTGAGAAGTGAATCAAACTGATGCTTTTGAACTGATGCCGTTTGCTGCACGTGTCACACTTTCAGGTGCACGCGCTCCAGAGTTACAAACTCTGGTTCAATCTCTGACCTGTCAGACAACGTTTATATCAAGCTTTGTGAGCCTGCTTATCCTGATCCTAACCACGTTGGCTTTATCGGGTTTTATCAACTCAAAACTTACTCTGCAACTCTGAGTTTGTTCATCTCGCTTCGTGCTACAGGCCACTGGACAATAGCACAGATACACAAAAATAGACAGAATAACAACGAAAGAGAAGTCAAAGTGGAATAAAAGAACGCAATGTTGAGCAATCCACTGCAAAAACTATCAGTGTGACAGTAAAAACCTTGCCGGTGGCCTGACGGCTGATTTTGCGAGATTGAGGTCTCTGCAGAGCAAAAGTGGGCGTTTCTCAATCATGCAATCAAAATGATCCCCCTTACCTAACCCCACCCCTAAACCTACCGTCACTATGACGTCAGCCAATCAGGAAACATGGTCTTAAAACGCCCCGATCTGGTAACTCCCATTACTTTCCTGCAGAGACCTATACTTGTGCCTTGTCCAAATACCCACACTTGCAGTCTTTGCACTTGACCACTTGATTACTTATATGAAGTATTTCCTGTATTTGGTTCAAGTGAGCATGAAGACCACAAGTGTGTGTTCAACATTTCATTACCTGATGGGACACACTTATTGTACGGGACATGTGAATATATTTTAATTATTCCACAAGTTTTGACGCGTATCTTCCTAGCTTGTGTTCATCACTCGAAGTCCATAGTTTCCTTTTTTGGTGGTTTTTATATTTTTGCCTTCCCAATGTACGAAAGTTATCATTTCCGATTTTGTCATTCGATAATAAATCGATAATAGGCTAAATCATAATTCGGTTAGTCTTGACTGGCAGAGCTATACGAATCGGCTCGTCTGTTGCGCGCTTCCGTCAAACGGTTTCGAACAGAGTAATAGATGCGCGGGACTCGAGGAAGGAGAGGAACCAGCTAGGCCTGTCACGATAACAACTTTTTGTTGTGCGATATATTGCCCCAGAAATAATTGCGATAAGTCCTTACCTTCTTTTCTCTCTAAATTAAGGGTGCACAGCACACTATTGCTGAAAAACACAATCACTACTTAGCAGTCAGATGTCTGTATATGCACAAAGGCACAGATCCCTAAACAAGGCCATATCTGCAGATGAAACTTTGTTTGTAGAAGCATTTTTTAAATTTGAACTAGCACCTCATGACTACACCACGTTATGTACGAGAAGCTGCAAATGACACAGGCACAAGTGGAAGGTACAAAACGTGGTGGCATTAATTTGTAAGTAAATATAATGGGCAATGTATTGCGTCACCAAAAATTATTGAGGTCATGTACATATATTGCGCGATAAGTCGATATATTGATTATTGCGACAGGCCTAGAAGCAGCCAGAAGAAGCAGTGAAATGTAGCAAAATGACTGACCTGTTCAGGGATTCAAGTGCAGGTCAGTTTCATCAGTAAATACGCTACTGTAGTTTTGTCTTTATTAACCTAGTTGAGTAGGCTATTAAACTGCTTTTAGGCTATCAGGAGCACCCCATTATTATCATCAATCAGAATACTGTGCTAAAGGGCATCATTATTGATTGTAAAGTTACATTAATCAATTTAGCAGACATATTCATATGGATTTATTGTATAGGGAGGGAGCTAGACCAGACAGCAACACAAAAATATGAGTCACAGCCTAATAATGCAATAGTGTGTTCAATATTAGGATTTTTCAATAAAGGTATTGTACTAATTTTGACATTTAGGCACTTTAGAAAATGTGTTTTAATATATTTGTATGAAATATACTGTAGGTTTGTTAAATCTTGTGCATTTGAGTCATTTTAAGATAAATAACAACATTCTGTGCTAACAATTGCAATGAGATGGTTGTTTTGCAACAAGGTGGACACAGTTCTGTTCATAACAGTAGACCTGCTGGTGAAGATGTGACAGTTACAAGGGGGGAAAAAAGGGAGAGACAGAGATATTGGGGAAAATGAAGAGGAAAAGGGAAGTGAAGGGTGCAGTTCAAGAGAGAACCTTTAATTATTTTCCACGGCCCCAGACTAAGGATTTAGACCTTTTTATATGATGGCCATACAAATAATAGGGTTGTCTGTGGTTTCGGAATTTGTTGTGGGTGTATAGGATGGCCTGGATGAATGTGAGATTTCCCGGCCTGAAATTGCATCCCAGTCCGGCCCTGCATAGCGCTGTCTTATGCACCTGCAACTTTAACTGTTTTTAGTCTAGTAGTAAACTTAATTCCTTTTAGGAACTGCAGGTCCTAGCCATATGATTTGTATGGATATGACACTAAGTTAGAATGAGCTTATGCAACTTTACACATTTACTATTACTATATTATTAGTTACTATTAACGTTACTCCACTAGGTCTGAAATATACATTTTAATCCCCTGGAACACACTACAAACATGATGATCTAGATTCTAGAACATGATGCATTGCTGTGTCTGTCATAATCAAATAATTCTGGAGAAAGTGGCTGTGTGTGTGTGTGTGTGTCTACATAAAAAGGTTTTTTTTGTTTACAGTCTTCCTTTAACGGACATTAATATAAGACAAATTTCAACAGAAACTGACAAGGTTTCTAGAGAGCAAAGGTTTTCTGAAAAAAAATGGGAAGAC